ATGTAGGATGTATGTATGTATCTATATGATTATTACCGGTATAATTGTATGAATGGAGCCAATCTGGGCTCAAAGTCATTACAGATGTCACACCCATAAAATTCGAGCCAATTTAAAACTTTTTAAATCATTTGAAACCATTCAGTTATTACAATTTGTTTTCAAAATAGTTTATACATCAGAGTTCCCAGAAATCATAATCATCAATCGAGGAAGTGTAAGGTCACGCCTTCGCCTCCCCGCGGCCATCCGCTGAACCTGAAACAATAAACTGAAACTGTAAGCCCGAAAGCTTAGTGAGTTGCCCCCAAAATACCAACCTCATATAACCATAATCATATCATATCAACGATTACAGAAGAACATGCATACTGAACCCTCAGCTTGACTGGACCGCCTTGCAAGGCCTACAGTCTACCTGGATCTATCTCGAGCCTTCGGTATGACTGGACCATCATGCAGGTTCACAGTTTATCCGGACCGCTCGTCGGGTATGTTGGCCTCAATCGCACGAAGCAGGACCCCGCCTCAACCCACCCATCAACAATAACCATGTGCACAGAAATAACATATACTGGCATATATATAACAGTCATACCGATCTAACAGATCATCAATCATAGCAACATCCTATAACCAGGATACCGACCTAACCAGGTCACTAACATAGCATCATCCTATATACCAGGATACCAATCTAACAGATCATAATAGCATAGCAACATCCTAAACAGGATACTGACCTAACCGGTCACTAACATAACATCATCCTATATACCAGGATACCAATCTAACAGATCATAATAGCATAGCAACATCCTAACCAGGATACCGACCTAACCGGTCACTAACATAACACCGTCCTAACTACCAGGATGCAGATCTAACAAACCAATAAGTATATCATGCGAATACCCGAATACAAATCCGATAAAGGGTCGGCCTTGGTGCCGTAGACCCTGTTGATATAGTGAGGATAACTCACCTTGCAACTGCCGAACCGAAACACGAAAACACTGGCCCGAAGCACTGCTCCAAACTCCAACACCTGATGCCATCAATGAACCATGACATAAATATCCAAAATACCATAACACCCCTAAAGGTAAAATAGGTCAAAGTCAAAGTCCTAGCCAAAGTCAACCTTCCTGATTGACTCTACTCGCCGAGTCAACCCGTCGACTCGTCGAGTTCCCAACTTCAGAAAACTCTTATATCACAACTCGACTCGTCGAGTCACTCCATGACTCGTCGAGTTTAACGATCTCTGAGTCCTATCATGTCCAACTCACCGAGTCACCACTCAACTCACTGATCTAAGTCTTAACCAGAAGAGGTTGGGGTTTTGCGTTCTGACTCGCCGAGTCCACGACAATCTTCAACAGACTCGCCGAGTTGTTCCTCCAACTCGTCGAGTTCATGCCTAACTTCAACAGACTCGCCGAGTCCAAGAACAGACTCGTCGAGTCTCTTCAGTCCTTTATACATGCAGAGGCTTTTCGAGTCTTGCAGGGGCTCCAAACTGTAGATCCACTCTTCTAGGGCATGACTCTCATGTAAAGTTGCAAGCTTTACGTGGAAACAAGGAGTTATAAGCCCAAATCACTCTAGGGTTAAGGTTTAAGACAATGATGCTTCACCAACAAGCCAAGGGCTGATACTTTGTGAGGTTCTGGACCAAGACAAGTCTAGATCTGAAGTAGCAACCTCAGATCTAGACCCCTAACCCGAATTAGATCCTTAACATGCCAAAATGGCCCCAAATATCATTCTAGAATAGATATAAATGCAATAGAGTCAAGGTAACAACTTGTTACCTCTAAAATATGCCCAAGCTGAAGTAGATTCTGGGTCACACAAATCCGTTGATGCTCTACACTTTGATTTACAAGCCTTCTTTGCTAGAATCTCCTTCCAAAGCTTCCAAGTTCACTCCATAGGCTCACACACAATTCTAGGGTTTTCTGACTCTCAAGGGGTGACAAAGAGGCTGAGGTGACAACTTAAGGTCCTTTAAATAGGGTGCAAGCCCTGAGATTAGGGTTTTCTCTTCCCAGCACCAACTCATCGAGTCCAGCTCCGACTCGGCGAGTTGGTCACTTAATTCGCGACCAAATCCTGATCCGACTCGACGAGTACTCGTATCTACTCGTCGAGTAGCTTCCTCAATGTACACTTTAAGCCCTTATATCATATTTCTGAAATTTGGGATGTTACAACAGACTCGGTGTTGATACGGACCCGAGGGTTAATACGAACCCGACACAGCTACGAGTTGTTACATGGAGTCATTACAGACACAGGGTTGATACGGACCCAACACAGCCACGTGCTGTTATATTTATTTATGTATATGTTGTACGTGGTATCTTGGAAAGCACGCTAAGTTTTGCGCTTACAGTTTATGTTTATGATTTCAGGCACTTCCGGTACGAAAGGGAAGGGCCCAACGGGATGGCACATCATCCCCTTATGTTTCCGCACTTTTGATTATATTGACTCTGATGATTTTGACATTTTGTATTATGGTTGACCTTCAGACATCTGATGTATTCAATTATTTTTCAAATGAATAATTTTATCACTGTTTTGGGATGTTACACGAAGCACTGTATGCGAGATTTGGGGAAGGTTTATCTTCAACCATGATGGTTTTTGTAGGGACCACATATTCACCAAAAACGTGATCGATAAGTTTTAAGTATTTGAGAAGAGATGTGATCTGATTTTTCCATAATAAATAGTTTGTGGATGATAGTTTGATGGTGAGGATGTGAAGAATGATATTAAGAGAGATGGAACCATCAGATGATGAAGAAGTTTCCATTTGGGGAAAAAGAAGATAAGTATGGTTGGCTATAGATTTAGAGAGGGAGAGTAGATAGGATCGATAGACTAATACCATATAAGGATTTGATATCAATCTCCAATGATCAGGAGATATGTGTATTCATGTAGTTACAAGATAATGAGAATAATCAAAAATACAAAAAAGTTTTCCTTTGATAATGGATTCACATGATTTAAATTGTTCTACTCAATATCTATTTCATAGATATTTCATTTATAATATTTAATATCCAAAACCTTAAAAAGCAACTTATTTTTCATTAGTGACCATTTGATAATTTATAAACTAGTATATAGTCTTGTTTGTTGCCTTTAGCCGGCCTTTCGACTACTCTCCATACTGATTTGTTGTATTTTAAAATGCAAAGAATAGCTTGGAATGCGAAGAAAATTTTGAAGCAAAATACGCGTCGCAGTTCAGAACAAACTCCGTAATGATGTCTTAATATATATATATATATATATATATATATATATATATATATATATATATATATATATATATATATATATATATATATATACTAACTTGGGTGGCTTATTATTCGGTATGAAAGTCCGTTAGAGGCTTCTCTTACTGTGTAGTACAAACCTGTCATTGGTGCTGATATTCTTAGTAAGCTACAACATTGACCGACATGTAATGCTCTTTTTCGGCGTTCATGCTTTGGTCGGTAGCTAATATATTTTCTTGTGGGCATGGATGGGGCCCTTTGTTTAGCATTATATGTTTTTCAAAGAAGTTGTTACAAACCCATAAAATGAAACGGAGGAAATGTCTTTTGAGACTAAAGAGTAGGAATTTACTTTTAGGAGAAAAAAAGATTGTTTTTACAGGGTTCCTACTTGGTAATTATTTCCTAGCTTCATAGTCCCGTTACGAATTCCAGTCAAGGTGTTTCCTTTGGTTAAAGCAAGCAGCCCGGTCACGTTGGAACATATATAGAGCATATTTGATAAATCCACATGAGCTATCGAACGAGGATGTGATATGAGAATGTGTATGTGCTGTACACTTGTACTTGTTGGAGAAGAGATTTAGTTGTTGTTTGCATTGATAGCATGTGAAAGATGAGTTCTTACGCATCATATCCATTTTTGAAGACTTCAACATGTATCATGTTGTTTACCGATTATAGTTACTTTTTGAATGCCATTTCTAACTATTTTGAGGTAAATAATGATTTTATTTTTATGACACAGTTACCATACCCATGGGGCATGATAACACCGAAAAAGAATGAAAAGTGAAATGTGAAAAATCTTATATTTAAGGGTAAAAGTCAGTTTTGACTTTATAGCAAAATAGTCTTCCAAAGGTACATAAGCCAATGGGTCAACCTAGGTCGGATTTAGGTTCAACCAATTTATTAATTGGGTTGAAGATCTAAACCCAACTTGTTAGATAAATGAGTTTTTATTTATCTACATCTCAACCAAACTTATTACATAAATTGGTTGAACCTAGATTAAACCATTTAAAATTTAAAAAAATATAAATAAATTACTAAAGATTACATTTACTTAAGTTAGTTCCAAACGTAAATAAAATTCAAAGTATGACAAAAACAAAATTTCAGTTCACAAATACAAACAAATCATTCCAATAACATTAAAAACCTTTAATTTTGAATCACGACAACTCCCACTTCCACCAAATCCACTTTTACTTTCAACACGACTTCCATCTTCATCGTCTATATTCTCCGTGATGGCTCCATATAGGTCTTCAAGTTGGGGATCCATTTTTTTTAAGAAATAAAAAAATTAAAGTAACTTATCAGTGAAGGAGAAACACTATGAGGCCAAGGCGATATGGAATTAATGTATTGTTGGCTTCAAGACTCAAGAATAAGATGACAATTAGGGTTGCACTTTAAATATATAAATATCCTTATAATTTATAAATTAGTAATTAAATTATTGATATATATTAAATTAAATGTATATTAAACCCAACCCAACCCAACCAATTTAAGAAAATGGGTTAGACGAGTTGACTCGTTTAACTTAAACGGTTGGAAAGTCTCAACCTAACTCATTAATTTTGGGTTGGGTTCGAAATAAATTGACGGAGCGGGTTGCTTCTTGCCTACCATACTTCCACTTATTTTATTGTAAGTCATAGAAAAGTCTTTGCATATAAAAAATTGTACTTTCCAAAAATAAAATCTTGATGGCAATCTGATAAGTTTTTTAACAACCTCCAAATCATGCCTTATTGTATATTGAGAATAACATAGAAAACATATAATAATATATTTATTTGTGTTTTGCTACAACAACCACTAAAGTTTGCGCATAATCAATTGAGCACCATGCTGAGGTTGTATAGTGAGGATAGTATGTGGAGCATGTGCGTACAATGGAGAAATCTCAAAGGAAAAAACCTCTTAAAATCATAACAAAGTGCTAATTTTGCTTCCAGCGTAGCAAAATTTTGGCCGATACATATACGTGGACCCCCTCCGAAAGGGAAGTATGATGCTTGTTCCGTAGTTGCCTTTGACACACCTTCTGCAAATCTCTCAGGCTTGAACTCTTTCACATCATCACCCCACATTTCATTGTCATAATGTAAAAGCATCATATGTAATTGGAGGAATGAACCGGCTGGTAAGGTTATGTTTCCTAATGTAGTTTCTTCATGAATCATCCGTCCCAATCCTATAACAGCCGGGTATAACCTAAGTACCTCTTGCAAGATCATATTAATCTGCAAAATAAATAATTACTAAAAAACTCTTGTCAAGTACAATAATAAAAAATGTGAGGAGGAATGTGATCGTGTTTTCGTTTATTTGTTGCGAGTGGGCATCATATTCTTGCATTAAAAAATATATTGATTGGCCTGAGCACATTTTTAAACTCGAGATTTAGTTTGGTATAAAATACATCACCTGATTCATTATGCATTTATCTAATTAATAAACGGTTTGGTAAATCCAGTCACTAGATGAAGAAAAAAATCTTACAACTTTTAGACGATTTAATCCGTCAATATCTGGTTTTCTGTCTCCAAACACCTTTAAAACTTCATCTCTAGCACGATCTTGCCAATTTGTGTGTTGGGCTAACAAAATCATTGTCCAAGCGAGCAAATTTGCAGTAGTTTCTTGCCCAGCAAAATAGAAAAGTTTGCATTCTTGAATGACTTCTTCGGTAGTAAGTCCGAAATTGGTGTTCCCTTGTTGTTTGATTTCTTTGTAATTGGAATCCAATAATATGCCCAATAAATCGTCGCTACTGCTTTTCCCAGCTTTCGTTGTTGTAATTCGTTTATTAATAATTTTGTTTATTGTAGCCCTCACTTCTCTGTCAATCTCCTTCATCCTTCTATTACTCTTTGTAGGTAAAAATCTAGAAAATCGTAATTAAATAAGCAAACAGTTTTGCATGACTTTTTTTTGGAATGATTAAGAGGCTAAAAACCAAAATTATTATTGGAAAGTATGCTCACCGGGAACCTGGAATATACAACGATTGTAAAGCCTTCATAACTAACTCTGTTTGTTCTTTTTGAAGTTCAAATATCTTTCTTCCTTCTTCATAGCTACTACCAAATGCTGTACGTGAAATTACATCACTAGTAAATGTTTGGAGATGAGGGTACACATCCACTTCACACGATCTTTCTTTTGTTAATACTTCCCATTTGTTGATCATATCACTGCAACTAATGTAAAAAGCTGGTACCATATGCTACAAAAAGGAGCATTAATGGAATCAGTGGTTTATTAATTTTAATTACATATTGACACTTTTGCTCTGGTAATCTATAAAGAAGATGAACCTTAAGCTTTTCGACATGGAATACAGGATTGATAATCTTTCTATGTTTTGCCCATTGCTCAGCTTCAACATCTGCTAGCCCTCTTGCTACCAACTTTGCCAACGGATTTCCTCCATTTATCTTTTGAAATCGAGCATAATTTGCCAAAATCCGTCGTATTAGTGCAGGTTCTGTTACGTGCACAAAAGGTCGTGGGCCCATCCATGTATAGAAATTCTTTCCTTTACCTGAATACAAATATCCAACGGACATAATATAGATTGTTTGAAAGATCATTACACCTTCTTGAACAAAACTAATATAAATCGTAGCCTTTATATTCTGGATCTTACTGTTTGGATTTGAGGTCAAACGAACCACCTCTTAACTATATATTTGGGCCTATATGATGCTTTGCAGTTTGCATATAATATGTGTATGCTAAACTCATGGAAAATTTAAATGTAGAGGACTAGAGGTACCACATAAAATCTAGGAATAATACCGGCTATAGACATTTTTTTGGGTTGAATTCCAAAAAATAGACACAAAAAATCAGATTTTCAGGTATAGACATACTACAAAAAAAAAAAGAACTCGATGAACAGTTTCGCGGAGGTGCCTCCGCGGACCTCATTAGCAGCTCCGTGGAACTGTACATCGAGTTTTTTTTTTTCGTTAATACCCCTGATTAATTGTATAGGTTATAATTATTAGAATCCTCCGCATTACACCAAAAGAGGAAATAATCTCATTATGATCCTCCGATATCAATAAGCGATAAATCTCCTCATTATATTAATCAGTTTTATAATTATTACAAAGAAAAAAAATAATAATAAGATGTGTTGACTTAGTGGGACCAAAAGAGGGAATAATCCTCCGATCTTAATCTAGGTATTTATTAATAATAATAAAAAAAAATAAAATAAAAAAAAAAAACCTCGATGAACAGTTCCGCTAAGGTGCAGCTCCGCGGGACTGTTCATCGAGTTTTTTTTTGGTGTTAATACCCCTGATTTAATTACGATTTTGTTATTCCGCAGAGCTACAGTGGATTCCGTAGAGCCCTCAGAGCTCACATCCACGGAATCCATGTCTATACCCGGAAATCCGACTTTTTGTATCTATTTTTAAATTCAACCACAAAAAATGTGTATAACGGGTAGTTTTCCTAAAATCTATAGTTATGCTCATTGTACTTTGGTCTTTGAAATAGCATCATTTATGTGACACATAGATGTGATCAGCATATAAAATCTGGAAAGACATGCTAACAGATTTCATTGGTCAAGATTTACTATTCTGAAAACTTATTATAAAATCTGAACGGTTTTAAACTTCTATATACATGAATGGATTTTTTAACCAAAAAAAATTAAAATAATTTTCAGTTAAAAACTTTTCTAAAAAATTTTATTTGAAAAACTCAAAAAAATAAGATCTACTATTAATGCTCGTATGTATACATTACATACCATAAGTCTTAGAAGAGTTATAAAGATATGGCATGACACGTGGGACGATATCGTCGGTGAGATTTATGGGTTTCAATTTGGCATCAGCGGTCATCTGCACCATCTCTTTCATGTCTCCATATAGAAATTTATATGGATTTCCATTCAGACCTTGTTCTCTCAGGAACTTGTCCATCTTCTTCGGTTTCAACCAGACCCAGTTGAAAAATCTCCATCCATATATCACCACCATCACACCCACAACACATAGCACTGTATTCATACTAAAACTTAGCTCCATTTCTAAAGGAAGTAGGGTGCTTTTCTTTTCTTTAACTCTGAAGGTCACACTCTATTTATAGGTTCAAGATCTGATAAGTGATAACAGGTAAGTCAAAGAGAAATTGTACTTGATTTTGACTTTTGGGTTGTTGGTGACGAACGAAGGGATATCATTTATCGATGGATAATGTCAATCATATCCCTTGTGTTTTAGTTATTATGTTTATGGTCCATATGTTATTGTTTTTCAATAGTCTCCCGTATAATATGTAATTGAAAATGTTATCTATTATTGACTTATATTTTTACAATTAAATCAATTACATCACTCATTTTTAGCTTGATCAATTCGTATATTTCATAATCTTCTCATGGTTTTTTTAGTTCCGCTGTCAATTTTTTTACTGGACATAAGGACCCAAATGAAATGCATGTAGTCATTTTGGAGAGAACGTACAGAAAACAAATCTTTAAGCCAGATATGCAAGTTAATGATTACGTCCTACTTGCTGCACAAGATAGACTTGCTGAGCAAGTCTTTTCCTTGCCATATTCTTACAAGTTGAGAGCTCCATTTTTTATGTTTAGTTTTGAGATATTATTAAACTAATCAAATTTCAAAAAATATATAATAAATATAATTTATTTTTGGCAAATTAGATAATCTGATCTATATAAATAAGTTTTGTAAAGAAGTAGCAATATTTTTTGGTTTTTTTTTTAAATAATCATTTTTTCTTAATGATTCATTCCGGACTATGGTTCACATTTCAAACTATTTTCAATTTCTTTTCAAAGAATGTTTCATTCCGAAATGCTCTATCTCGAACGGGATGTTTAAATTTTAGATTTTTTTTCGCAATTTATTTTCAAATATTGAGTTTTTTTTTCATATAACCATTAAAAAATTGTTAGATTACTCGACTTCCTTTTATTTTTTGGTATTTACGAGACAACCAACATGTCCGGAAAATTGGACTCGAGTCCGACCCGACCATTAATAAATGTGTACCAAATTTAGTGAACCTTCTTTCTAATGCAATTATATAATGTACATTTAGAAATAATATTTTGGATTTATTTACAAAAAGTTGCACTTGATCTTGAAGATATTGAGTCTTTAGAGGTTAATTATTGTTTCCTTTATTTATTTGTGTGTTTTTTAATACGGTACCAACTTAGAAAACATAGTCCAAAATATTGAAATCATGTCTGGAAGGTGAAGAAAATGTTCAAAATAGTTTGTTATTTCGTATTCAAAACCTCATAAAGTTACTTATTATTATTCATTAGTGACCCTTTGATAACCTAGAAAACTGTTATATGGTGTTGCTCGTTGCCTTTAAACTGCATTCCGACTACTCCAAAATGATATACCTTATTCTGAAATGCAAAGAATATTCCAGAATACACACAAAATTTAGAACAAACTCTAGAATAATTTACTAGCCAACATCTCTTTTGAAGTTAACCAAATTAGGTGGCTCGATATTTTGTATGATGGTTCATTTAAAGCTTCTCTTACTATGTTGAGCAAACATGCTATGATTGACGATATTCTTGGTAATCTACCACACCGACCGACATATGAGGCTTTTTTCCGACAATCATACTTCGGTAGGTGGTTGAATATTCCTGCCAACGTGGAATGGGGGCCTTTATTATGCGTTATATGTTTTGCAAAGAAGTGTTGGATTATGTGTCTAGGTTGATAACTATAATTGATATAAACTTAAATTGATAGCAACATAGTCCTTTTTAGTTGTCCTCAAACCTAGCAACTGGACATGATGATTTTTGGAAGAGAGAGGTTGATTTATTATTTGATTAATAAATCGAAATAAATGATTTATTAATATATTATGAGAATAATATATTAATTAGAAATAGTAATATTTAATTAATAATTAATCAAAAATTAATTGGAATTAATTTTGGGATTAATGGAATTAATTGAAAGTACATGGGTTAAAGTGTAATTGTTCAATAGTTGAGCAAAAGACATTCTAGAACCTCCCTAGGCCTCAGACGGTTTCTAGAGGGTTTTAGGAGATTTAGAATTATCACTGGAGGACAATTAGGAAGGTATATAATTATCAATTCAAGATAATATTATTATATTGGTTTTGGACTTATCTAGGGTTTCCATATTGCACTATATAAACCCCCTTGGCATTGTAATTTTCGGCCAACCTTTTGGAAGAAGAGATAGCTGAAAATTGGAAGTATCCTCCCTCCTCTCTCCATAATTTCCTTCTTGCTAGCTTGGATGTGAACCATCAGAGGCACCACAATTGTGGTGCTTGCTTCCAAGAGATCAACAACAAAGGTATGTGATTCTAAATCCTTCTATAGGAAATTTCGACAATACCTAGGACTAGTATGTTCTTGTTTTTTAATAGAATGTTACATCAATAGTGTTATGACTTAGATCTTTAGGTTGTGTGTACATTTAAGTGTTAAGGATTTATCCGCGTTAATACATGTCAAACCCATTAATGGTATCAGAGGCTGGTTGTCTAGCAATTGATTGTACATTGCTTGAACTTAAACAAGGAGATGAACATAATCGTCATTCTATTCCGACACTATGACGTGGTAATTGTTTGCCACGACGTGGTGGTCAATCATATTGCCAAAATCAGATTTTGCTTAAATTTCATGAATTGATTAGGATAATTACCTTAAATAATGTTTTAATTATGTAAAATTGAATAATTATCTTAGTAATTAGATATCCTTATCTTGAATTTATGAATTATCCATAGTAATTATATTTTAATTGGTTTATTTTAAATTAAATTAATTCCTTAATTTTGAAAAATCTAATTTAAACCTTGTATTTTCAAAAAGTTTTAAAATACACCTTATATTATATGTGGAATTAAAAGTTTAATTATTACTATATGTATAAGAATAAGTCAGTTAAATCAATAGTATGCCTCATTCACGAAACCATGTTATAAATAGGATATAAGGAAGCGGCCTATAAAATGGTCGTTGAATAGGTGTCCACTCTCACCCACCGCTCTCCTATGTGGCGGAGGGTCGTTAGCCGAACGGGTTTGATAGGACAATTAATTCTCATTAATAAGTATAATGAGTAAAAATTAACTAAACCTTTTTATTAAAAATCTCAATCTTAGTTACTTTAGGAAAAATGTGAATTTGTATGCTAACCCATGAAATTGCACATTACATTTTATAAGTCGTTAGTGTAGCATGTGTGGTTAACCGACACACTAATAGGGACTAAAAAAGAGTGGTAATGGGTATCTCATAAATTATCATTGTTGGTGCAGCGTGTGTGGTTAACCGGCACATCAATTGAGATGATAAATGAAACTGAGGTTACCAAGCACATTTGCATGGTTATTCACATCTTGTTTGTGATCCTCGGTATCCCAGTCACAAATAGAAGAGCATAATCTGAGATTAAACATGCAAGTGAATAGTTTCAATGAGTCTCAAAATATCTAGGAATTTCATCAAAACTTAATTTCTTTTTAAAAAATTTGTTTTCTATTGGTGGAACTGGTAAATCATCATTTACCTACCTTAATAAAGTTTACAATTAAATTACGGAATCCCTTTTCTAAGTTGTGAATTTTATAGTTGGATCCTAGCCTTAATATTTCATTTTTCGGTTGTTATATTAAGGATTATTCTTATCTCACTAAAAACTACCTTTCTTTTACAGATGTCTACTCCAAATGATGCTTCTGGTTCCTCCTCCTCCAATCAAAACTTCTCTTTGCTAAACATCTGCTCAATGGTGACATTGGATGGCACCAATTATAATGACTGGATGCACAACATCAAAATGGCTCTTCGTTTTGAGAACAAGGTGTATACACTTGAGAAAGAACTAACTGAGATAGACGAAGAGAAGGTCACTCCTGAAGAATTAGTTGAATACAAGAAACACTACAACGATACAACAAAAGTTGCTTGCATCGTAGTAGCCACTATGACTCATGAGTTGATAAATTTCTATGAGGATTACTGGTCGTATGAAATGAATAGGGACCTTATGGAAAAGTACCATAAACGAGCTCGTCAAGAAAAGTACGGGGTGGTAAAGTCCCCCATAACAAGCAAGATGAAAGAGGGAGAGTCTGTTAGCAGCCATGTGCAGAGGATGCAACAATACGCGGATCACGTTGTTAGGCTTAATGTGAATTTTGATGAAGAGTTGGCTATTGACATAGTCTTGAACTCGTTACCAAGTTGTTATGATCCGTTCATCTTAACCTATCATCTGAACAACAGTGATACCACTTTGGTTCAATTACACAACCTCCTGCGAACAGCTGAAGCATGGATAAAGGGAAAGAATATTGCCTCCACTCCTGCTAGTACTCCAGTTCTGGACATTGGTTAATGAAAGGGGAAGAAGAGGAAAGGCCATCCAAAGCAAAACTGGATGGGGAAGTCTCAAGCTTGGTCGTCAAGTAATGAACCCAAAGGTAAATCCAGTTCCAATGCTCCTCCTGTCTCTAATCCCAAAGAGGCCACTTGCTTTTACTACAATGACAAAGGGCATTGGAAACGAAGTTGCCCGAAATATCTGCAAGATATCAGAGATGACAAGGTGAAGCCGAATTCTATAGGTATATACACTATCTCATTTGTTCTGATTTTCATGGGCTAAGAAGAAGTTAGGAGTTGGAGCACGGTAGAATGAACTTGATCATTGGGAATAGGCGATCTTCACCTGTCACCAAGATTGGAGTTTATAGTCTAGTGCTTAGTAATGGTGTTAGTTTAGATTTGATGAACTGTTTCTACTCATCAGAAATGACACGAAACATTATTTCTTTTCATGCATTATTCAAACAAGGTTTTACATATGGTTTTAATGATTTGAATGGTTCAATTTCTGTTTATAAAAATGGTATTTTTTATTTCGAAGCGTTACCTTGTGATGATGTGTATGAAACTGTGATTGTTGGATTAGTGTCTAAGCCAGTAACTATATTTGGTAAGTACTTGACCCGGTTGTGCATGGTCCTTTTGGGTTGCCTTCACCATAGCAACTTGACAGGGTGATTTATGAAGAGAGAGAGAGAGAAGATATTATGATTTATTAATATATTATGAGAATAATATATTAAAGGAATAATCATATTATTTAATTAATATT